TCAGTAAAAGGGGCACTTAATAAAGTGGATGCTCTGCAAAAGAATTCAAGCCACCATAGCTATAAAAGAAATGTTTATTGAGTTAAATATGGGATGCTTTCAAAAATCATACTGCACATAATGGAATTTGCATCATAGTCAGGATCACATGGAAATGTCTGTGATATCAGCATTCATCATTGAATCGATTGTTTATTGAATGGGCGGAGCATGCAGAGCGTTACATTGGGTCAGCATGGATGTAGCGTCTGTATAACGTGTTCCTTCACTGTGCCTTCCGTGTAGAATGAAGAACTGCAACATGGAGGAAAAGGGTTAAATGAATTATCGATTATCATTAGCAATACACATTGTAGGAAGAGCAATGATCATTAACTCACTATATTATTACCCCACATTCATGCAGATCGTTCCACGGTGCTCTCTCTGTTATTCCAAATTAAAATATTGCATGAGCACTTTATGTACTATTTGTATGATGTCATTACCAGACAGAAAGCTTAGTATCTTATGCTGGTAAATTAAAAAACTAATTCTTAAAGTTTGGCAAATTGGTTGGGATGGAAATATTCTCCAAATCAGCTATTGTTCGATTAATCTAACTTTTTGCTGTTTGGTTTTCTGTTTGCTAAAGAAGTGTTTTTTTGGCTCTGTGTTTATTTGCACAACAGGGTATTTGACATTGTTACATTTTTACTTTGCATATTTTCGTCTACGTTTATTGTGTTTGAGAGAGTAATTTGTTTAAGTTAGTTAATAGTTACTTTTTAAACAAATTGTATAAGGTCTTCCTTGGTGTTTTCAACTTTCTGCTGTTTTTCTGTTTATATTATTTCAAATTGAGCCCAGGTCTATACTGGTTTCCCACAGCTACGGAGGCTGAGGGGAGTTTACATTCTACTTTCCTGGATTTGTGGGAATTGGGTGCATTGGCATGGAGGTGCACCAAGGAGACAACTACCTATAAAACTCTGCTAAACGATGGATCAACAGGCAGCTGGAGAGTGTGTGTTACATTAAACCAGCCCCATTCTGTAAAGCCAGACAACACACAATACGAAGCTGTGCTTTATATTAAATATCCATGCTTTTTTCAAGCTGTGTTGGCTGCTAACATCTCAGAATCACTTACGTTCTTCCATCTTTTCCAGACTGAACATTGATTCTTTCTGCTCCCAGTTGATGCTGAAATAGGTTGAATATAAAAGGAGACCAACTGAAGGTAATGTGAGTAATGTTTTTTAATTCAAATCCAACATCGAAGAAGCTGGAGTACATGTTGCCTGGTAAAAAGTAATCGCTGGAAATAAGAAAATAATATCAATAAAATAGAAATAGTAACGCAACGATGAACAGACAATTCATTGTATCCATTGTTTTGGTCAATGCAGAGTAACGCTGACCCGGTGTTTACCTGTAGATGATCCACCTTGTGTTATTTACCGATAATGGCTGTTATTATTAGTGCTAAGAACTGGCAGACATTTACAAACAAAAAAACAAAGTTTCATGATTAGTATTTCCACATCTCTAGTAACAGTTCCATAATAACAATTCAGGAACTCAGCATATTCTACTGGTGGTCTAGTGGACTAAAACAGTGAGACCTGCATGGGGACAGATTTTGCTAATGATTCTTGGATTCCAGCTGATAGCTGCTCTGACTGGCCACTGACTATTTCAGGGAAACCAATAAATGAATGTGAATGTGAATGAATATGAGAAATAATGATCTTTTCTGCACGCAAAGCTCAAAGATCTCAATGTGGATGTGATTGTGCAGATCATGCAATGTGTAGGTTTGATAGATTGAAACGACTGGAGGTGCAAGTTGTGACTAAGTAATTCAGTAGAATTGTGCTTTCCGTTTAAAAGAAATCACAATCCGTCTAAATTTTGGGCGATCAGCAAATCATCTGAATTACAAAACAAATTGATCAAGGAATGAACTGTGAATCAAATGGAGGAAAATGTTATCAGTGCACTTATATTATTTATATTGTGTATATATTTTGTAGTACGCTGAGAAATGCATTTTTGCCCCATTTGGTTTCCAGATTAATCAATCTGAATATACCAATTTCCTATACCGTGTACATATCTACTGTGCTTGTAAGACATCCCCTGAAAATAAGCTCTAGCTTATTTTTCAAGGATGCTCATAATATAGGCCCTACCCTGAAAATAAGTCCTAGTCACTAGTTCACTAATTTATGTTCGGGGAATTTTCCCCGAACATAGATTCTTGGGATTCCATTCGAAAGTATGCTAATCTGTGTTCGGGAAGTATCCAGCACATGCTTGCTTTCCCTGAAATTAGTCATCCCTCAAAAATAAGCCCTAGTGAGTTTTTCAGGGGGAAGAATTTATATATACGACCCGGTCTTATTTCCAGGAAAGATGTCTAAGAGATATAAATTGGATCCCGTTACTCCATTGCCACCTAGAACAACTGGTGTATATTACTGTGGTCCACCATTAATTATCTTAGTCGGCCAGTCTAGGCCTGGACAACATTGAACCTCTGCTAACAGATATCTCAATCAGTATTATGTTATTTTAATGCACAGAAGAATGGTATGAGACTACAGCCCACAAGTCCCCTGGGGGGGATTAACCACACTGCAGCTCTTGCCAGCCCACCCCTGGTTTCCATTTAGTTACCCCATTGTACCTCTGAGGACTTAATACCTCCAGAGAGGATTATGTGTATTCCACTGGTGGATGAGGCTACATTCATATTGCTTCCTATGGTCACCATGATGAATGCATACGTAGATATCTTTATAGGTGATTGTTTGTGAAAAGCCGTGAATTATGTGATTGTAAAAGTGTAACTTACATCAAAGCTTCATATTCCTCTACAGTGCCCTCTGTGGCAAAGATGGCAATGTGGATTTTCCCTTGGATGCCATTTGTTCCACGCAAGGTAACAGAAAGTTTATATCTCCAACCTACACAATACAGAACAATTGTAACAGAGCAGAGAGTATAACACATGATACAAAATATTAATAATTCTGTAGACTATAATTGGGGTTAATGTTAATAATGCCCTTGGGTACCTGGAGCTATGACTGTAGCCTGATTGTATCTATGTATTGTTATTTTACACTGATCCTCTGCATCTGCTGCCAGGAGAAAAGCTATCTGTAGTTTTGGAAGTATAGATGGGATCAGAATGTGGCCAACATTTGCACAAAATACAGTATTTCCAAATATGTTTCCATATTATTCAACATTTTAGAAAATAGTGAACCGAAAATGCTTATACTATTTCATATCACCATTAGTATGTGAATTCCTCCTCATCCCTCTGAAAATTGCCATCATGTAGACAGACATGAAGTACACTTCTGTCATGTGAGCACACTAATGTTCCCTTTCCATAGGTTGTAGCTGAGATAAAGCTGTGTTATAGAAGGTTTGGGAACAGACTGCACATCCATCTATATGTTATCATAACTTACTTGGAAGATTGGACAGATCTGATCCAGTGTTTAAATAAAACCTTTGGCTGCTTGAGATGCCATGTGATGATTTCGAAAAATACCCCATTAAAGGGCATCCAGATTGTGGGCATGGGAAACAAGAACCCTGATAGGAAGACAAACGAACAATAGGTTACATGCTGTTATTAAATATATTTGTAATAACTAGCACACTTTATGTATATGGGACTCGGTAGTTTTTACATTGAAGAAGCAATGTTCCTAAAGCATAATTTTAATCTATTTGTTTTTTAAAGTTTTCTGACATAATTACGTAACGCAGATCTCAAAGATTCAGACTGGTTCGTTTCTGTGTTGTTAAACCGTGGAAGACGTGATGGGATTCTAAATATCTACACATCAGGGAAAGCGGTGTATGTGTACAATACGTTGTGTATACATCTAGATGAAATTCCTACCAGACGTTACTCAACTGCTGTAAAAACCTCAATGAATAGATTGGGACTTGTGATCCTCCCAGGGAGTGATTTATAGTTAGAGCTAAGAAACTAAGGATTCCGTTTGTGAACGGTGATTGATTATTTGTAACCAGGAATAGTAACACGTAGACATTTGGTTTCTAAAGAATCACAATTCGTCAGAATTTTGGGTGATTGAGGATGTCCGAATTCTGTAACTCGAAATCTCGATATGACCGACTCATGAAAGAAACTAGGAATGAACAAGCTGTTTGTTTGTTTTTTGATTCAGAGTTCCAACTGTGGCACCAAAAATGAAATGATTGGCTGTTAGGGGAGAGTCACTAAATGTCGATTCTGTTCACAGATCACGTGAGAAGGGAGCAGAGGAGGTAAAAAATAAGGACCAGTTACAAAATATATATGTTTAATAAATATACAATACATAAATACATAAATATATAAATAGAACTTTTTTATACGTTTCCTCTTGCTTTTCTCTATTGGTTAAATTTTTGCAGTTGATCCAAATGTTGGGAATCTCTGCCTATGAGTGTTCTGCAAATTGTATACATAATATTTATTTTGCATTTGCATTTTTGTGTCATTTTGGTCTGTCTGGAAAGTTTTTCCCAGAATGAAAGCATGAATGAAAATGAATAGAAGCAGATAAAACCAAAGAGTGAGGTGCAGCACCTGGAATGTCCTTGGAGCGCTGCACCTCTCTGTTTATTTTATCTGCTTCTTTACGGGACAAGAGAGACCCCGGATTTCTAGTTTGTCTTTGGACTGTACCAGTACTGGACAAGTGCTGAATATCCTCTTGCTTTTATGAATGAAAATTGTCCAAACCAACATACTTCATAGACGAACCTCTAACCCCTGAAACACAAAGCTTTTCATGGATAAGTAGTCAATTTAAATAAATCAAATGTTTTCATTGTGGACAAGTCTAGTAATAGGTCAACATTCAAACTATTACCTTATTATTACTGGCTTAGCATAGTCCGTAGCAATAGAAGAGAGGTAGCAATAAGTCTGTAGAGTTTATTAACTTAAAAAAAACACTTTATAGTAAATTTAAAACCAAATGTAAAACGTTAAGAGAACCACTCACTGCTTTGAATGAATCATAGGTGTCACAAGGATAGGCCAGAAAGCCATCGGGTTGTCTGATACTCGCTGTGTAATAGTAGAAAGCTCTGAAGTGGTTACATGCCAGTATGTCAACTATTGCTGCCGTTACAAACAAAACAACAAAATTATTTCACTTTAAATTTGCCCTCATTTTCACACAAATTAAATCTATAGGAGAATAATTTCCATTTTTGTATAACAAACATAGAGTTTATTAGCGCAGCGTATATTAACTGTAACATGAATATAAATAAATTCTGAAATTAATAATATGTTACCATTGAAATTGCCGATGGCTGAAATCTTGCTTGGACACCCTGGCATGTGTTTGCCTCCATTAGGATAAATGTCATGGTGGCCAATTGGCTTTCTGATGCCCACTCCTAAAGAACATCATGCAGAATTTTAGGAGCATTTAGAAGTTGAGATCAGTAGGACATGATATGAGATTAATTTATGTAGAATATGTTGATATTACCCAACGGTGAGGCTGTGTCAGTATGTATCACTTCTACAAAAACAGCATCAGTCCTATCAAGCCTAACCTCATCTGGGGTGTCTTCAAAGTAGGGATGAGCTGGATCTAGACCTGACAAAGGGGGATTTCAGTCAATTAGCACAGTTTCCATCCTATGATACTTTTTAAATATTCAAAGACAATTATTTACATAATTTATTTTAATCTGCCAGTAACATAGACCTTACTTAAATAAGCTTTTCAAATGATTCTATACTGTTAGAAAACTTTAAAAAAATGACTATAATTACTATAAACTTTAGTATGTGAAAAGTAAGTTTGTATCATAGGTGTAGATACATAGTCCTCGATGTAATAAACTTTCCAAATGATTCAATACTTGTAGATATATATATAATTGGAAAGTTTTCTAACAGTATTGAATTATTTGGAAATCTTATTAATTCTTCTTTCTTATCTCATTTCAACAAGTATAGAGTATTACCTGTAATTTTCCAAATGCCAGGGTATCGTTTGCCAGCCTCACCCGCTGCATGGGCTCCGAGACTGTGCCCAATGATATGAATGTTGGAAGGTGAATAGGAAGAATTGATCTTCTCCTAAGGGTGAAACAGAATTACAACTTTGTGAAAAGTAATTTTGTATCACAGGTAGATGAACACTGACCTTGATTTGTTCCCATAGACTTTAATGGTGACGTCTCTAGATAAATCACTTGGAAACTTTACTAACAGTATTTAACCCCTTCGTGACCAGACCAGACTGGTTTTCAATTTTCTTACCGTTAAGGACAAGTGCTCTTTTTACATTTCTGCGGTGTTTGTGTTTAGCTGTAATTTTCCTCTTACTCATTTACTGCACCCACACATAATATATACTGTTTCTCTCGCCATTAAATGGTCTTTCTAAAGATACCATTATTTTCATTATATCATATAATTTACTATAAAATATGATGAAAATATGTAAAAAAAAAAACACACTTTTTGTAACTTTGACCCACAAAATCTGTTTGCATCTACAACCGCCAAAAACCAACGGTGCTAAATAGTTTCTAAATTTTGTCCTGAGTTTAGAAATGCCCAATGTTTTTTGGGAAAGTTATAGGGCTATAAGTACAAGTAGCACTTTGCTATTTCCAAACCATTTTTTTTCAATTAATGCAAGTTACATTGCAACACTGATATCTGTCAGGAATCCCTGAATAACCCTTCACATGTGTATATTTTTTAAAAGAAGACAACCTAAGGTATTAAACTTGGGGTATTTTGACTCTTTTCATGCAACCATTTTACCACCAATCTATGCCAAATAAAAAATAAATAATAATCATTGGTGATTTTTTTGAAACACAGCAATTTAAGAATACATGTATGAAGAATTTTAAGGGTTACTGCCAAAAAACACCCCAAACTGTGTTCAGCAACATCTCCTGAGTACAGTGATACCACCCATGTACAGGTGTGTCACGTTGGAGGGTGCGCATTCCAGTTTTCCAACTTGGAATTTTCAAAGCTGGTCATCATCCACCTATGTCCTAGTTGGGAAATTTTTGAAGCCGGTCAATGTAATTTACCCTCATCAAACCATATATTATTGAAAAGTAGACATCCTAGGGTATTTCAAATGGTGGTATTTTAACCCTTTCCATGCACTAATTCTACCTCCAGTCTTTGTCAAACTTTTGGGTAGTCATTTCTTTGTGTTATTTTTCTCCCACATTGTACTTTAGGCATGGATTCTCAGTTCCTGTTATGTGTTACTGACAAAGAACACCCCAATATGTGTTCAGCAACATCTCCTGAGTACAATAGTGTCCCCAATGTACAGGTTTTATGGGTTTTTGCAAACTTACAGGGGTCAAATGTAGGGCTTTCCCCTTTTCCATGTTTGTACAGATTTGTTTGCTGGGCCTATGCTGCCTTTGAGACAGTATAGCAGCCCAGGAATGAAAATTAACCCCATCGTGGCATACCATTTGTAAAAGTAGACAACCCATGGTATTCAAAATGGGGTATGTCCAGTCTTTTGTAGTAGCCACTTAACCACAAACGCTGGCAAAAGTTAGCATTTAGATTTGTTTTTTTACACAAAAACTGCACTTTTACTGGTGATTTCATAGTCGGAATATGTTTTACTGATTTATAACACTCATATTTGTGTTCAGCGAAGTCTCCCGAGTATAACGATATCCCCCATGTACAGGTTTTATTGTGTTTTGGAAAGTTATAGGGTCAACATAGGGCTTGCCCAGTTCAGTTTGCCAGATTGGTTTGCTGGGTCTGTGTTGCCTTTTGAGACCATATGGTAGCCCAGGAATGTGAAGTAACCCCATCATGGCATACCATTTTCAAATGTAGATAACCCAGGGTATTCCAAATGGGGTATTTGCAGTCTTTTGTAGTTGCCACTTAGTCACAAACGCTGGCCAAATTTAGCGTTTTTATAAGTGTTTTTTTTTTCCAATTTATATTATATATATTATGTGTGTGTGTGTGTGTAAATATATATATATATATACACACACATACAGATAGCGTAAAGGTAGCACTCTCAGGACTCCCAATATGTAAAGTGCTTTCTTTACGCTATCTGTACATTTTTTGCTGACAAGCACCGGGCAACGACACCAGTAAGTTGAAGTGCAAATCTATTTTTCTGTGTGTGTATATATATATACACACACACAGACAAACATATATATGCACACACACCCCCCCCCCCACACACAATACATATGCACACACATATAATCCATCTGTATGAATATATATATATATATATATATATATACACACACACACAGACAAACATATATATGCACACCCCCCCCCCACACACACACACAATACATATGCACACACATATAATCCATCTGTGTGAATATATATATATATATATATATATATACACACACATATACATATAATACATGTGTATATGTGTGTGTGTGTGTATATATATACTTAAGGCCTTGACCTGTAGTTGTGGGAGGGGCTTGAATCCCTTTTAAAGGCGCTGCCAGTCCTCTCCCACCTTACCGTTGTTGGTCTGGCGAGTTTGAGAGGATTACTTCCGGTCAAATCGCCATCTTGTTTTTCTTACCTGCTTTCCCTCGAGGTCCTGGTTTCTGGTTCCTGTTCTAAGCTTACCTGACCGCTTACCAAACAGTTGTAAACCCATGGCCTTCTGGCTTCCTCGCAGTCTGTTCTTGGCACGGCTAGTGGTTCTAACCGTAAGTCAACACCCTTACCGTAATGCAACGGTCGCAACCGTTACAGGTCATTGCGGTAGGGGTTCATCCACATTTTTTCGTACATTCTTTTGATTGGCATTACATTTGTTTGCAGGCGTGTTCGGCACGGTTTCGTTTGTTTTAGAATCAGCATTGATTTAGATTTGTTTTCGTATTTCAAACGCACGGACGCAGCCATTCTTTTTGTTCAGAACACAGTGTGTTCGTATGTTTCATTAAGGCACCATTTTCATACGAATTCGTATCAATTGGCAAACATGCGTACGATTAGGTTTTAAACATTTATTCTATAGAGGGGATTCCTCCCCGTTCGGCAGTTTATTGCTAGTTATGAGGTTTGTTCACAAAGTCAGCCAATTGGCCTGGTTATAAAAGTCAGATGCCCCTATTGGTTAAAAAAGGATATTACAGTTACAGTAAATGGATATTAATTGTGGTTATTTCATATATAATGGATTAGGCTGTTTTATTAATTATCTTTTAGCTGACATTTGTCATAATGTTGTTCCCACAGGTTTCGTTTCAGGAAATTAAGCTTATGATTTTGTGACAACTTGAATTGTGACAACTTTGTCAAATATTTGGCCTTATTAGGTTGGTAATTTGGTTTAAAGTTTTACTATTGCAAGTTTTATGTTAGTGGGCATTAACATTACGCTTTCCTTAGGTGCCTTGGTCAAACAGACAGTTGCTTTACAAGCACTACAAACCCATCATCTGCCTCTGTCATATTTTCACTGCTAATCAATAGTATCTGGTATGTTTCCTTTTATTTATTCGGGCCCACGATCTGGCCCAGTCACATAAATCTATAAGCTCAATACCATTAGAGCTGCTGGAAGCGATCAGGATCGCTTGCAGCGCTCTTATTCCCCGTGGATGTATTAGGTACGTCCACCGTCCTTAAGGATAATTTTTTGTCAGACGTACCTGATACGTCCAAGGTCACGAAGGAGTTAATCATTTGGAAAGTTTATTAAATCAAGCTCATTGTTCCCTAAAACAATATCTAATTGCCCCGGAGAGAAATACCTTTATCAGGTAATAAGGAGAGCAGTAACGCACATTTAATTTTTATCAATTTTAAAAAATTTGTCAGGGTATCTCAACTGGCAGACATTTTGTGTTAAGATAGAAATTAAAAACGTATACTATAAGTCACCATTAAGACGGAGGTGACTCCATTTTGTAACAGAATACATAAAGCCAAAATTAAGATTCTCTACAAGAAGGGGGGTTGAAAAGAAAAAGCAACAGCCCAGACACACATGTAAATATAAATACATATATATCCATATAAACTTACTAGTATTATATTTAATCATACATAAATAGTACCTATGTTAATAATTTTGAATATTCAAGGATAGGGGGCACCCTCAGGGCACTATAGTGCCAGGAAAATGAGTATGTTTTCCTGGCACTATAGTGGTCCTTTAAGTTTTAAAACTGCAATGTGACAGCAGTATTTGACGATTCTATTTGACTCTCAGATATGAAGTGCACCCCACTAATGTACTACCCCACTAATGTACTATTTAGCACCAAAAAAAAATTACTTTTTAAAACTCTGATGTAACTGCGGTATTTGAAGATTCTATTTGACTCTCAGATATGAAGCGCACCCCACTAATGTACTAGTTTGCAGAATTCTTTCCTAATCTGTTCCTGTCAGCTGCAGCATCCTCTCCCTACACTAATAAGACCGCATGTGCGTTCGGCGCTACACTACTCCAGCTTAGATATAGAGGCTGGGTCACATGCTGCACTGGCCAATCACAGCCATGCCATTAGTAGGCATGGCTGTGATGGCTTCTAAGGGCACAAGAGTCAAACGCTTGTTGATTGGCTGCCCTGCAGCCTTTGAAAACGCGCCATTAAATCGCCGAACCCCGAACTCCAACCCAAACATACAGTGATATGTCCATGTTCGGGTTCACGGTCCAAAAAACCTAATGTTCGGTACGAACCCAAACTTTACAGTTCGGGTTCGCTCAACTCTACCAGAGATATTACTTATCAGAAATTAGGGATAATAATCTTTAATTAGGAAAGTTAAAATTCTGCAAACGTTAAATATGGTTAAAATTATTCTTATTGGTTATTGGATGAGAAGGAATGGTTAACTGATCTGGTATGAGAATTATTGTATTTGTCATCGCAATATGAAAGGTATTTTTCCTGTGAGAATTGTAGTCAGCAGTGAGTGAGTTAACTCAGTGTGTTTAAAACTGTCAGCCAAAGTTCTTTTTATTGCCTTACGTTGTGCTGTGACATGCCGTGTTCTGTGTTAAGGAAGTTCATAGCTGATTTCAAAGAAAGTGTCCTGTCGTCAATCTTGTTGAAATGGAATTTAGATGGATATAAATGTTGCTACTGAACTATTGGAAACTGTGTTAGACTGCCATATTATATACTTATGTTATACCTAAATATCCACTGATTATTGTCACGCATGTTACATCATTATTATTATTATTAATTATTGTCACAATACATTTATATTTTTTATAATTAGTTTGTGATTAATGTGTGAAATACAAATTCTCTAATACAACGTGCTATAAGAGTTAAAAATAATGGGTAGCTCTTTAAATTAATCAAGGGGAACAGTGCCAATATATATAGTTTTGATATAATACAAATTATTAAATACATTTTTGATAATTTTTATGGAAATATTATTTTAATATTTAGCACCCCATAAATATCCTCACACATTAGTACACACCTTCTTTTAAAACCATATCCAACTTAGAAATGAAATAATGATGTAAGCAATACTATAGGTTAAATAAAAACTAAATGTTTCCTTCCCAATCAAATGTGGAATTATGTATAACTATAAATTCTACTAATAATACATTTTGTCTTGCAAAAATACCTTATTGTTAAAAGAACACTATAGTGTTAGAGATACAAACATGCATTCCTAATGCCATAGTGTTCTGTTGGCTATTTAGCTGCCCAGCCCCCTACATGCAATAAAGAAGCTTTTTACCTACTTTTTAGCCCTCACTGCTATGCTTTCAGTGTGACCATCTCATCTCCCTTGCCGACTTCACCAATGCTGATGATCTTGGCCAATCCAATGCTTCTCCATATGGAAGAATTTGGAGGCTAGTGCAGTGTGCTGCACATTACTGCATTGTGGTAATCAGCCCTCTAATAACTGTGAGAGTGACAGCTGCTGAAGGTGGAATCGGAATACAACCCACAGGCTTCACAGTGTGGCTGCTCAATAATTACGTTTATTGGTGCTGGCGGCAGTGATGTATCTTGGTTTTGTGCTGCCCTAGGCAGGACAAAACTCAGGCGCCCCCCTCCCCCCGCGCCACCCCCACCCAACCCTTCCCCCTGCCCCACCTTCTAAATACACACACACACAGTCAGACACATACACACACACAGTCAGACACAGTCAGATACACACACACACACATTAACTTTTTTTTTATTTAAATCCCCCCCCAACCTCCTTACCTTTCGGAGTGCTGGGGGGGGGGGTCTCTCTCCCTGGTGGTCCGGTGGTCCAGTGGCTGCAGGGCGGGCGGCTGGCGAGGGAGCTCTTCCTATGAGCTCTCTGCTCAGCTCCCTCGCGCGCCGGCTGCAGAGTGAGGCTGGGAGCCGGGTTGATAACGTCATAGGAAGAGCTCCCTCGCCAGCCGCCCGCCTGCCAGCGCCGCCCGCCCGCTTGCGATGTCAGTTAGCCGCAAGGCTAACTAGGCATTTGCCCTGGGCATTTGGGGGCGGCGTTTTTTGCCGCCCCCTGAAAAATGCCACCCAAGGCAAATGCCTTGTTTGCCTCGCGGCTAATACGCTCCTGGCTGGCGGGATACAAAAAAACAAAACAAAAAAAACATGTTGTTTCGGCCTGTATGGCCTTACATGACTAAGGCCATACAGGCCAGAATTTAGTTTTTTTTTTGTTGCATCCTGTGAGCACAAATAAACAGTGAATTGTATTCTTATTCTACTGACGGGGGCTGCAAATTCCTATTTCATGGAGCTATTGTTGGAGAGCTAGCGATCTGAGACCCACTGTTGCCTAGAGTGTCACACCACCTATTTTTTGGAGCAACTAGAGGTGGTCATGGGCAGCAGTGTAAACACTGCCCTTTCTCAAAAAAGGAGCTTTTATACTGCTGGCCCACAGCTACCGCTTTAATCTGTAATGTTTCCAGTGACTATGGTGTGTCATTAACACTACTTTGTGATGAAATTCCAATAAATATCATATGGACGTTTGAAACACCCATTTAAATGTTTTTCATAAATACCTGTATCCTAGCTTTTTCCTCATTTTTTGAAAAAGACAGTTAGGCAGACAGACAGACATACAGACTAGAGATAAGTCTAACATTATCTATTTTAATGCTTTTATTATTCTTGCGCATGGCTGTTTTTGAAAGATTTCTCACCTGAATAATTTGCAGCAGGTACGCCACCTCAGCCCCTACTACACGTGCATTATTTGCAGCTTGAATATAAATTTGAATATTTCCTGAGCCTTTCCGCCAGTCAGCCCCAATGCAATTAATATCATCTACCCCAAGAATTTCCTAATGAAAAAAAACAATTGATTATTTTACAGAATGAAAAGAGGGAAGATGTCAATCATAAATTAAAGGAACCTTTGACTCATAATTATAAGTTCTTTGTCCAGCTGTTAATGAGTTTTTTTGTTTATCTTTATTAACCCTCTTAACACCAATGATGAATATAACTGTCATGTGCTTCCACAAAGGGAATTAATTCACCTCCTGAATGGGGACCACCCCAATAACTCAGTTAGAATGTTAGGTTAGAATGTTCACACCTCTCAACATAAGTGTCAAAACCGCAAACTGCAAGGGAAACAATTGAGTACTTCCCTGGGTGGCTGCCGTTCGTACAGACAAACGCCACTAGGTTAGCATTCCTACCCTGCCAGGAGACAGCTTCCCTTGCAGGGTTTCACACAGGGACCTCGCGAGCGGAGACTGGTCAAAGAAGGTACTGCTGTGAGGGTCCCTGAGATTGGTGTAGGCACATTTGGGGCACTGGCAAGTTTGGCAGGCTTTTCGGTGCCTGCAGGGACAAAGAAGCCAGCTTGTTCCCCATGGGCGGGTTTTTTTGTGCCTGAGATACAAAGGGACGGTCCCTTTTTCCCACACCTGGACTCCCAGGCACATATGCTCCTGGGAAGGGGATGCCCTGGCGGCTAGGTTGGGAAACCCTGTTCTTTTAGTGGCGGGCTTTGGGGACAAAGGGAACAGAGTCCCTTCCCGCGCTAGGGGCCCAGGGAGGAGGAGGATCCAGGGAGGTGAACTTGTACGTTTTGTGTGATACACCCCTTGCACAGGGTTATGGATAAAAGCCAATAAAACATTTTGTACTTTCAGGACTGTGTATCGTTCGGTTACTGGGGAATGGTTCTCCTTTGTACTTTAAATGGTTCATGAATTGGAGGAAATTAGAGGAGGTAACCAGTTGGGGTACCCATGGTCTGCTATATCTTGTAATATTGTAAAGCGCTACAGGATCTATTGACATCCATATATAATAAATATATACCGTTACCTTCTTAGGACCATGTATTTATATTTTTTTAAGAAAACACATTGCAGTCTAATAATTCAACTTACAGAGCCACTTTGTTTGTTCACTATTTAGGCTCTGGTACAGTTCTGTAGGAGGGACATACAAGAGTCATAAATGGGGGTTTGTGCACCCCTGATAAATATGAAGGAAAGCAGTGGTGGACTACAATCAAGCATTATAGGTAATGAGATATAATCATTGTGTTAGCTGTCTGTTCATGAAATGAATCAATTACTTGAAATCCACATGAAATGCTGTTGTGAACATGAAAAAACATCTAATGAAATATTTTACATCCATGATGCCCTAAGTAATTAGCCTTTAAGTTTCACTATTTAAGAGTCATTCCCTGCATTAATGTTAGCAGCACTGACATTAGTTCATACTTTTCTTTCCATAGTTGAACGGAGCATGGTTGTAACTAACCAGTTTAACCAGTTCAGAGTCGGGAAGCAGGTTGATGGGCAGGGTATAGGCTGGATGGAGGGACGTGTTACTATAGTTATTGTGTAAGCTGTTCTGTGGAGGTTTTGACGGTTGTTTTTTTTCGGGGTGCTTTGGGGATAGCAGCAATGTAGCAGTACCGGGGCACAGGCATCCCTACTTATTTCAAGGCTGCTAGTGTGTACTCTGGGCCTCTATTTATTTTTATCCTGGGACACAACGTTTGATCTACCGGAGCAGCAGAAACAGTTATCTCTATTTCATGTAAAATCCTGGGATGTTAAGTATAAAACTCTAATTTCTTTATAGTTTGTATACTTGGGATTAGATTAAATTGCTAGGACCTTTGATATGTTTTACCTGCAATCATGTTTAATATATATGTTTAGTACTGCAAAAGATAATTGTCTTGTGAATAATACAAGTGTTTAGCTAAAATATGTTTATTAATATTTGTTATGTTTTCTTTAACATCTTTTTATTAAACATTATCTTTTGCTGTATTTTGAGTTATTGTCATTTAGGGGTTAACTGTTAGGATATATATCTGCCAAACTACCGGAAGCAGCTGATAATTATAGCTGTACAAAATTAAATGGTTGGTTTTGAGTGCTTGCAAATATACGTGGGCTTCAGAAGTTTTGTTGGTGTCTATTTTTAGTGTAAATAGGCGATATCTATTGCCAGGACACATGGCTCTTTGAAACACATGGTCGGCAGCCATCTTGGTGCTCCTGAAATTTTAATACAATGGTTATTGTGAAATCATTTGAATTGTGCAAACTAATTCATCCAAAACCACTAACCACAACTGGTGCTCAGTTGGAACCTAAAAGTAAAGCTTTTTCATGCCAAACAAAGTACATCAAATATAGGGGAACATTAGGCTTTACCGTGCACATGTTGGACACCCAGCTATTCTCTGCTTTGTCTCCCATCCCATGGATAATTATACAAGTCTTTCTGGTCGTCTTGAAATTGGACTTTTCAATGCTGGTGACATTGTAGGCGCTGATCACCTAGGAAAAAAGTAAATAACAGTACATCAGATCTCTCCATGAAATAAGAGAAAGCACATATATTGTATATAGAGTGTTACACTAAAGCAATAACATACCTGATGCCTTCTGGGATTCTGTTGTGTGTACAGGAGGAAGCGTGTGCCAATCTCTTTAGGTGTCCAGGGTAAAGCTGCTTTGGGTCTCTGTAGTGTCTTGGCATATGGATCTTCATCGGAGAAACAGCCTAGTGGGTCATAGCAAACATCACCGCCTGTAGGATATCATTAAACATTGTTATAGAAAACCACAATCATTTCAATTCAAATTTTATGGCCTTTACTGTAAACCTCCCAACAGCAATCAACCAATCGGAACACACATATCAATAATATAGAGCTCTGAGACTCCTCCCACTTCCTCTTTCTTTGCTGCTTGCTGTCCAGGTGAGTCTATTCTAATTACATTGCCTTCAGGTATTTTTCATTTCAGTTAATTTAAGAGTTATTTTATAACGTTACCTTTAAGATTTTGTCTTTGCATTTAATATTGCTTGTTTTTGCTGTTGATTTATTATTTCAATAGTTTCTCCTTTTGCCTCATTCGGTTTTCACACTGGTCTGTCCTTCTGTTGGCCAGTGGGGATTTGCTTTATACCCTTTTATGATCATGGTCCTTGTGGTATTTCCACATTGTCCGTGCTTCTGTTTGGCCTCCATTTATTCTGGGTGGCTGCGACCATTTTGCACTTACCCTCACTAAATTCGGAGGGCTACACAACTTGTTTTCTGGGCCTTCCTCTTCTGTTCCACTTACTCGATGTCTTTGCCCTCGAGAAGCGCAGGCAGTGGTAATAGGTGGAGGTTTGTGAGGTTCCCACCGTTTTTTGCTCCCTCACACCCTGTCAATCGACAATATTTTTCTGCTAACAGGGGAAGTAAAGCTTTATATCCCTGTACTTTGGTTTTTGCCAGTGTGAATCCTATACTAGATATCCCTCTTTTCTCTTCCAAACATAATATAACAATTTGGCCTTGTCCCTCTAGTACCCCATACAGGGTTGTCCCCCTTTTACTCCCTTTCTCCTCATTTGAATTCCATTCAATTCGCCTTTTCAAACCCTTCTCTGCTAACATTGCCGTTATCTATCATCCCCATGGTTCCCCCCTCCTCTTCCTTAACCACTTAGCTGCTTTGCAACCCTACTTCCTCTCCTCTAATATTCCACCCCTAATAACCCACCCTTGTCCTCAGTAGCCTCAAAACTACTTTCAATGACCTCCTCCCTTGGACTATCAAATTGGGCTAAGCCCCTCACCCATGTAGCTGGCAATACCCTTGATCTTATTTTCTCTCATTATTGTACAATCTCTAATCTCTGCAACACTCCATTTCCTCTCTCAGGTCATTTGCTCTCAATAGCCCACTACCCCTTCATCCTCAACCTAACCCCCCTCAACTTAGAAGAAATCTGAATTATATTGACCTCCAACAGCTATCAGCTAATATTGATTTCCAACTTCTATCAATGCCTACTTTCTCCTGTCCCTCACTGGCTCTATCCTCATATAACACTACCCTCACCTCTGCCCTGGACGCTGCAGCCCCGCTCCAAAGGAGAACACACACCCAACCATGGCACATTAAATCGACATGCTACCTGCAGAGATGCTCCCATTTAACTGAACGCTGCAGGAGGAAGTCACACACCCAGTCTGATTTCCTCCACTACAAATTCAAGTTGCGTTCATACAGCACAGCCCTTGCCAAACAGTCATACTTTTCTTCTATCATTAGCTCATGCTCTAGCAATCCAAAGCATCTTTTTAATACCTTTAACTCCCTTCTTTGCCCTGCTGTGGCCATCCCCCAAACTAACCTTACAGCTGATAGCTTTGTATGGTACTTTAACGACAAGATTGAACAGCTAAGGAAAGAATTCTCACCGCCTTGCCCCGCTCTTTCTCAACCACACCTGGATCATGCCTTTCCTACCCTTCAGACTTTCTCCCTGGCTACTGAACAAGAAGTGGCTGCACTTCTCCTTTCCTCTCGCCCTACCACTTGCCCGCTTGATCCTGTCCCATCTCACATTATCAGATTTCTCTCCTCTTGTCATGTGCCTTCCTTAACACACATCTTCAACTGTTCTCTTTCTTCTGGTGTTGTCCCAGCTGTTCTTAAACATGCTACTGTAGTACCCATCTAAAAAAATATGTGGTGGTACCCACATCAGCCCATCCTTCCATCACACTGTCTTGGTGTTATATTTGATTCTGGCCTCACATTTGAGCCTCACATCCAATCTGTTACCAAATCCTGTAGATTCCACCTTGCTTCCAGATGCTACTTAGGAGCTTGTCCATGATCTAGTAATCTCTCGCATGGATTATTGTAACTCTCTCCTAATAGGTCTTCCCACAAGTTGTATTGCCCCGCTACTAGACTCATTTTCCTCTCCTGTCACTCCTCTCACACCTCTCCTCTCTGTCAGTCCTTACATTGGCTTAATGTATCCTATAGGAGTCAATTCAAGGTACTAATCCACACCTATAAAGCACTGACCAATTCTAGCCCCTCCTATTCTCTTCACTGATCTGCAGCGGCAGAGCGGAGAGACCGAGAAGCGTGAGTTGGCTGTATGGGTGCGAGCAGCGGACAGGAGAAGGTCAAGGGGTCCTTCTCGGTTCCTCCGCTCTGCCCTTGACCTTCTCGGTCTCTCCGCTCTGCCCTTGACCTTCTCCTGTCCGCTGCTCGCACCCATACAGCCAACTCATGCTTGTAGGACTTCTCGCGGGTGGCTCCTTTCCTTTGTAATAGCCTGCCTACGACCATCAAGCTCTCCCCTTATCTTCAATCATTTAAAAAGTTCCTCAAAACCCATCTCTTCAGGAAAGCCTATGGCCTCCCAGAGTAATCTCTACCTCACGTACGTGTCCCTTGCTCTCTCCAAAAGGGCAGCACTCTATTTTCTCCTCCAGCTCTGCTTCACGCCACCTAGTTTGATTGCTACCTCCTTTCCTGTTGTGTTTTAGATTGTAAGCTTGTTGGAGCAGGGCCCTCTTCAACATATTGTTCCTGTAAATTTTTGTAATTGTCTCATTTATTGTTAAATCTCCCCCTTTGATAATATTGTAAAGTGCTATGGAATATGCTGGCACTATATAAATAATAATAATAATACTTAGTTCAGTTTTCTTCTTAGTGTGGTTAACCCCCACTTTTTCAGTATTGCATCTACTATGGCTACCATGGGTGGCCTCCACGTCATATATTTGATTGAAGATGACTCCCACCTTGCCAGTCTTACATATGCTGTGGTTAACCCCACTTTTGTCTGCATTAATTATTTAACTGCTTGACTCTGCATTGTGTGTGACCCCCAATCTTATCTCTATTAATATTATATTGTATCTGGACTTAATATTAATATTATTAACTGCTTTGTGGCTGATCCCCACATCGTATTATTACTGTGGGTGATTCCCGCATAGATTTGTTTTAGGTGATACCCAACTGCTACTGGCTGTTCTCTTATATTGCAGAATCTATTCCCAAAGTCCTGACTGTCTTCCAAGAGCAACCTATCCTTCCAAGCGCTCTCTTGGCGTTATATTTGATTCTGACTTTTGAGCCTCACATCCAGTCGGTTACCAATTCCTGTAGAGTCTACCTTAAAAACACAGTCCGTATCCGTCCCAAAGCTAAGTAATTTAAGTGAAGGTACTTTACACGCTGCTTTTATACCAAATATCAGGGTTTCCTTGACGGGGCTCTATGCGTTTCGTCGATCAGACTTCCTCAGGAGCATCTATCTTTTTTCCTGGTCTTTCATCTTTTAAATTTTCCGGTCCGTGCATCTTGTCTGGTGACCATGTGTGAATGATGCTGGGCGCGACGTCATACGTCATGATGTGCGGGTGGCCGCAGAACTTACTTTATTGACAATATATACAGAGACATGCCTCCTTATCATCTTTAGGATTTAGATTCTTTAGAGGGCATTGCTTCTACTCACAATCTACAGATCATGGACGAGTATCGTACTGGATATTCTTATGACAAGCTTCCTTTTAATAAACAGGACAATATTTATTCACAATACATCAAGGAGAAAGTTATTAAGCCTTCCCAGGTTTTCACTTTTTCACTACCAATTCTGAACAGGATCAATACTCTGACTTGGATTTCCAATGTCAACCTTTGTTTGACCCTAGACTAATCAGGCACACTCACTTGGCTGCATGTACACCACCCGGACACATTGCACAATTCTGCAGGTTATGGCTATACAAGCCACTTGAAAAGAGATTAGAAACTAGCTGAGTACCCCTTACCCACTATTTCTGACAAGGTTGCAGTCTCACCAGAGTTTGACCCCATTTTGGTCATGTTTTTAAGCAAAACAGTTAATGATCCTCGTCAGGGAATTGAGCAGGGCTTAAAAGCCGGCCAAGATACATTACTTAAGGCGTGCGCACTGGGTGTGCCGGGTGTGCCTGGGCACACCCTAATCCCCGCAGCCCGCGCATGGATCGAGGCCGGCAGGGAAGATCACAGGATCTCCCAGGTCGATCCATGCAGAGCCGGCGCTATCCGAGCGCTGGCCCTGCTTTGTGCCTCCATGGGCCGGTGGGGAGATCAAAGATCTCCCTCACCGACCTGCAGGCAGGAGAGGACCTGGGGAGCTCTAGCCAGCAGCTCTGCCGGGTTCTTCTTGCGAGATTGGAGTGTTGCCATGGCAACGCTCAGATCTCGAGAGAGTGAACTCTAGCCCTGCAGAATAGGACCACCAGGGATGGCAGCAAGGTAGGTGGGATATTTCCTAATCTGTTCCCTCCCCACCTTCACACACAATCATTCCAAACAAGCACACAGCACCCTCACACACACAGCACACTAACAGCACCCTCACACTAACAGCACCCTCACACACAGCACACAGTACACTAACAGCACCCTCTCTCTTACACACACACAGCACACTAACAGCACCCTCTCTCTTACACACACACAGCACACTAACAGCACCCTCACACACACAGCACCCTCACACACACAGAGCACAATCACACACACTGCACCCTCACACACACACACTGCACCCTCACATACACACAGCACCCTCGCGCGCACACACACACAGCACCCTCACACAAGCACCCTCACACACACACAGCACACTACCAGCACTCTCTCACACACACAGCACCCTCACACACACACAGCACCCTCACACACAGCACACTAACAGCACCCTCACACCCTCACACACTGCACCCTCACACACACACAGCACCCTCATGCACACACACACAGCATCCTCACACACACACAGCACACTACCAGCACTATCACACACACACAGCATCCTCACAGCACACTATCAGCACTCTCTCACACACACAGCACCCTCACACACACACACAGCACTCTCACACACACCACACTAACAGCACCCTCACACAAACAGCAGTGTATGTATGTATGTTTTAGTGTGTGTGTATATATATATATATATATATATATATATATATACATACATATATATATATATACACACACACACACACACACACACACACACATAAATATACACACTGGCCCTCTTATCCAAATATTTATCATTGCAGATAAAGCTTCGACAGGCAATTCATATGGTTCAGGATACAGTGCTTTCCATTAATGCTTACCCCACCTTTACAACTTTGCATCGCTTTACAGAACACCACATTTTGATAAATCTATTTAATACGTCTCTCCTGTTATTTTTGCAAGAAAGGTGACTTTGAGTAATTAGCAAGATTTGATTCTATAGTTTTTGTGTGATGTTCCCTTAATGTGCATTTCGTGTGAATTGAGGTATGAACTGAGGTGCTTAGAGCAGCACTGCTATTAAGAAATGCATGTTCTAGGTGTGTCCCAATTCTTGTTTTCTATATGATTGTCAGTCATCGTTGCCACACTGTGGATAGACCTGTGATGACAAACTCATACATCCCCAGGTCAATCCTTTACCCATGTTTATGCTAATATAACTAGGGGCATTTTACCTATTCATATCTATTCAACAATACTCTCTGCGTGGGCTGTCCTGGCATGCCTTTGGGGCCCGTGCTTCTTTGGGATGGCACTTTTTGTCCCTGGTTCTCCCACCCTGGGCTGCATTGAAATGGAAGAAGTAGGAATCTCTGCTCCTTCTCCACCACAGACGGGATCCTATATTTACTTCTCAGCTCCTACCAGGACAGGAGAAAGCTGGGTCATTTCTCGGGGTGCCAATACTGCGGATCACGGCTCTCTCTATATCTGTTACATATTGTATTTGTTACAGTGTATCTGTGTATTAGCATTCTACAACATGAAGCCAAACAGATCAGCTCTGTTAGAACAAATGTTTAATATCAGTTGGCTGCTGGCTGCTATCACAGTTTGTGCCATCCCAGAAATGAATTCTATTGTCAAAGCAATCGGCTTTAAAGTTTCCCAGATTTTATTATTCTTCACTCTGACAGAATCCCTTTTCTTTTAGCTGATACATTTCCCCACAAAAGGAAGTGTTTATAAGGACAATCAGCCAGCCAGCCTGACACACACTGTTTATTCTAGGAGGAAGTCAAGACACAGATAAGATAGACACTAAGAGACCTGATACAGTTTATGCAAAGGGGACAAAAACAAGCGTATTCTTTAAACTGGGAAATTATAAAAAAAAAATAACAAAGGTCAAACTATCAAAACTGGGAAAGTACCAAATTGTCTATTGTTACCTAAAATGTTAAAATCCATCGTCATTAAAACAAAAGCACACTGTTGATCTGCATTTCCTTACTGTATAATAGAATAACTTATTCATAGGAATAGTTTTTGAGACAGATAGAAAAAAACATCTATTTTGATGTAAACCATTCTGATGGATTCTTAGCGTAGAGGGAATACACTGTATATTATGATAAAACAATTACTCAATATCTGGGTGAATGTGGCTATATAGTCCATAGAAAACTACATCTCCCATCATCCTATAATAAATTAGCCAAACACGACTAGCTAGAGCTACATTTGAGAATTTTGCATAAACTTTGTAATTCAGCTTTCTAATGCACTAGAATTCAGATTTAGTGAATAATCCTTTTCCTGTTAATGCTTTTATGATAGTTTTGAAGATGTCAGAGACATGACTTATCATACGTCCTAAGTGCATTCACTTAGTTATTTAGTGGTTATGGTGAAAGTAAGGATCATAACAGGATTTGCCTGTTTACTAACCAGCAGATAAATACATTCACAGCTTTTTATTTCTGTATAAAATAGACTTACCCAGGACAGCTCCAGACAGTCCGTATAAAATGAGCAGCGACAGCAGTATTCTGGGAAGGGGAGTACCAGACGAGAAATGTTTCATACTGATTTATCTTCTAGAAGGATAAATTCTGTGTTAGAATAACGCATTAATGGCTTCTCACTATCATCTCTCTGTATAACGTCTTAATTACAATGTAATTAAAGCTCCATCGTTGTGAGATCTTTAAAGAATGAGACAGAACCCAGGTCTTTCCATTAGCGTTCTATTCAGGAATAATCCCAAACTCCATCAGTAAACTACCTACAGCTCCAGGATATCTCACACAAAGTATGTATTACCAACATATGCAGAGTTAGAGGGACACAAATGGTTCCAACGACAAGTCACACATTGAAATATTCTGTAGCCCAGGCTTGCTTTAAAATATCTAATATCCAGCCAGGTAAAGTGAGTAGAATCCCCACAATGCTCTGGTTTTAGGTTACATTGTGGCAGTTCACATTCAGTAATTCTATATTTCTCTCCAGTATTGAAATTATTAATGACCATGTAATTCAAAACACAGCAAGCACAGGCAACATCCCCTACCCTTGTCAATTTCCAGAAATATAGAACAGAAAAGAAGCTTATTGGCAAAAATTGAAGACAACCAATGACAAATCATATTGAAATAGTTCATTACTAATGATAATTCTATGTGATCTGAAGAGGACGTGTAGGTATATGAAATTTTACTGCAGTGCTAACATTCTATCCATGTGCTACATCACTGATGGTAGACTTTCATCTTCCTGTGCATCATGGGAAATCACACAAATATAAATTGTGCTAAAACCAACAATCACTGTCCTGTGGTAACTACAGCAAATTATTCTGTAAACCCAGGAAGGCAGCACTTAGTGTCCTTTAGACTTTAGGATATTTACAGTAACCTAGGGAAGACCAATCATTATCAAACCTCAACTCTCACCATAACTCTGGGAGATGTAATTCGACACCAGGTAAAGATCTCAATTTATGACTACCCTTGAAATACCATCGTGTGTTACCATATGGTTACAAAAATCTTGTCACATAAAGAGTAAACGTAGCAGTAACTTACCAGTTAGATGATTCTCAGTTTATCAAAGGAAACCCAGCTTCTTAGAGTAACGAGTCTGTCGGTTTATATAATTGTCTGTAAGAAGAAAATAGCTTCAGAAAGATTAGATGTCTTCAGGGCTGTCATCGAGCAGACACGAAAGAACTTGTAAGCAAAGAGCACGTGACGCACCCGTTTTCACATCAGGCTAGTTCATTCTTATTGTGAAATATACAGTCTATTGTTAACAGAAAGGAAGAAACAAGGAGATAACGGAAATTATGGGATGTGACAACTTTTCAACCTCAGAGCTGTGGGAGAGTGTTATGAATCAATTATCTTTATACAGAGAATTGTGGAACCCAACTGCAGAATTAAATGTTGGAGTTATACCTTTAATAAAAACAAGGGGTACTTCCGATATCATTTCAAAATAGGTTTTATTATCTTTTATAGAATCAGTTGAAAACAAATAGTCTCTTTTTTCCTTAATTGCATTAAGGAAAACAGAAAGCTAAATGCAAATCACTTATTTGCATATAAAAGTATTTTCAATAAAAAAGTCCTCTTATATATTAATCGGTTTCTAGTATCAATTAATCTTCAGAGAAAAATGAATGGCAGTTGGAATTGATTTTCCATGCATGATGTTTGTAGTAATATATATACTTGATTAGTAAATAGCAGTAGTGGTTAAACGTATATGCTGGTTAACAATATGTATATCATTGTTTAGTAAAACTTCCTTAATTGCAGGTGAAAGTAATCCTTATACTTGATTAGTGAAATATCCTTAATTGCAGGTTGAAGTAATATTTATACTTATTTAGTGAAATCTCCTTAATTGCAGTTTGTAGTAAGTAGAATTGATACTTATGGTTTTTCCAGGGAGTCCTGCACGTGTAGCAAGGATGGTAAAGATCTACAATTGGTTGTTTTGGTTTGTAAGTAGCTACAGGAATCCTTGTAGTTTACAGCAACAATGAAGAATGAAAGTTCGTGGTTTCAGCAGCGATACAGAAAGACTCATCATGGAGACAGAGGTAGGTTCAAAATAACTCAGCAATTAAAGTTTGGCGCGGTTTGCCTATAAGACAATTATTATTATTATTATTATGATATTTATAGAGCGCCGTCAAATTCCGCAGCGCTTTATAATGGGTGGACGAACAGACATGTAGTTGTGACCAGACGAGTTGGACACACAGGAACAGAGGGGTTGAGGGCCCTGCTCAATGAGCTTACATGCTAGAGGGAGTGGGGTAAAATGACACAAAAAGGTGAGGATAGTATTAGACTAATGACAGTTGCAGAAGAGGAATCAGTCAGGAGCTATTAACAGTTTCATTGATACGCTTTTATGAAGAAGTGGGTTTTTAACGATTTTTTGAAGGAGTGGAGACTGGGTGAGCATCTAACGGAGGAGGGAAGCGAGTTCCACAGGAACGGTGCAGCCCTCGAGAAATCTTGAAGGCGAGCATCAGAGGTGGGAGCACGGACAGAAGATAGACGTAAGTCTTCAGCAGATCGTAAGGGCCTAGACGGGACATACTTGTGTATAAGGGAGGATAGATAGGTGGGAGCAGCATTATGTAGAGATTTGAAAGCAAGAACCAGAATTTTAAATTGAGCTCTATATTTTATAGGAAGCCAATGTAGGGACTGACAGAAGGGTGAGGCATGGGAGGTGCGGACGGACAGGAAGATAAGCCTCACCGCCGCATTCATTATGGACTGTAACGGCGCTAGTTGGGAGCACGTAAGACCACTGAGAAGCGGATTACAGTAGTCAAGGCGAGAGAGGACAGTGGAATGGACCAACACCTTAGTCGCATCTGGCGTTAAGTAGGGGCGGATGCGCGCAATGTTTTTGAGATGGAAATGACAGGATTTGGCGATAGATTGAACATAAGGCTTGAAGGAGAGTTCGGAGTCAAAGAGAACACCTAGGCAGCGAGCCTGCGTGGTGGAGCTGATGGTAGCACCGTTGACTTGGAGGGAGACAGACACAATTGAATAGAGCGTCATCATAAAGGGATGCGGAAGTAACTTCGCGGAGCAAATTCACAGTAATTGCATGACAGAGAGGTATTTTTTAATTAAACAACTTCATATTTTATTTCATTTCACTTTGCAAGATTTAACACATTAGATGCACTGTGTAGGTTAGTTTACAGTTACACTGGGTGGGTTTATAGTATTAAAGGGACACTCCAGGCTCCCACACACGTTAGATGCACTGTGTAGGTTAGGTTAAAGTTAGTTATACTGGGTGGGTTTATATTATTAAAGTGACACTCCAGGCTCCCACACACGTTGGTTGCACTGTGTAGGTTAGGTTACAGTTAGTTATACTGGGTGGGTTTATATTATTAAAGGGACACTCCAGGCTCCCACACACGTTAGATACACTGTGCAGGTTAGGCTACAGTTAGTTATACTGGGTGGGTTTATATTATTAAAGGGACACTCCAGGCTCCCACACACGTTAGATGCACTGTGCAGGTTAGGTTACAGTTAGTTATACTGGGTGGGTTTATATTATTAAAGGGACACTCCAGGCTCCCACACACGTTAGATGCACTGTGTAGGTTAGGTTATAGTTAGTTATACTGGGTGGGTTTATATTATTAAAGGGACACTCCAGGCTCCCACACACGTTAGATGCACTGTGTAGGTTAGGTTATAGTTAGTTATACTGGGTGGGTTTATATTATTAAAGTGACACTCCAGGCTCCCACACACGTTAGATGCACTGTGTAGGTTAGGTTACAGTTAGTTATACTGGGTGGGTTTATATTATGAAAGAGACACTCCAGGCTCCTACACACATTAGATGCACTGTGTAGGTTAGGTTACAGTTAGTTATACTGGGTAGGTTTATATTATTAAAGAGACACTCCAGGCTCCTACACACGTTAGATGCACTGTGTAGGTTAGGTTACAGTTAGTTATACTGGGTGGGTTTATATTATTAAAGGGACACTCCAGGCTCCCACACACGTTAGATGCACTGTGTAGGTTAGGTTACAGTTAGTTGTACTGGGTGGGTTTATATTATTAAAGGGACACTCCAGGCTCCCACACACGTTAGATGCACTGTGTAGGTTAGGTTATAGTTAGTTATACTGGGTGGGTTTATATTATTAAAGTGACACTCCAGGCTTCCACACACGTTAGATGCACTGTGTAGGTTAGGTTACAGTTATACTGGGTGGGTTTATATTACTAAAGAGACACTCCAGGCTCCTACACACATTAGATGCACTGTGTAGGTTAGGTTAAAGTTAGTTATACTGGGTGAGTTTATATTATTAAATGGACACTCCCACACACGTTAGATGCACTCTGTAGGTTAGGTTACAGTTATACTGGGTGGGTGTATATTATTAAAGGGACACTCCAGGCTCCCACACACGTTAGGTGCACTGTGTAGGTTAGATTACAGGTAGTTATACTGGGTGGGTTTATATTCTTAAAGGGACACTCCAGGCTCCCACACATGTTAGGTGCTCTGTGTAGGTTAGGTTACAGTTAGTTATACTGGGTGGGTTTATATTATTAAAGGGACACTCCAGGCTCCCACACACGTTAGGTGCACTGTGTAGGTTAGATTACAGGTAGTTATACTGGGTGGGTTTATATTCTTAAAGGGACACTCCAGGCTCCCACACATGTTAGGTGCTCTGTGTAGGTTAGGTTATAGTTATACAAGGTGGGTTTATATTATTAGAGGGACACTCCAGGCTCCCACACATGTTAGGTGCACTGTGTAGGTTAGGTAACAGTTAGTTATACTGGGTGGGTTTATATAATTAAATAGACATTCCAGGCTCACACACACATTAGATGCACTGTGTAGGTTAGGTTACAGTTAGTTATACTGGGTGGGTTTATATTATTAAAGGAACACTCCAGGCTCCCACACACGTTAGATGCACTGTGTAGGTTAGGTTACAGTTATACTGGATGGGTTTATATTATTAAAGGGACACTCCAGGCTCCCACACACATTAGACACACTGTGTAGGTTAGGTTACAGTTAGTTATACTGGGTGGGTTTATATTATTAAAGGGACACTCCAGGCTCCCACACATGTTAGATGCACTGTTTAGGTTAGGTTATAGTTACACTAGGTGGGTTTATATTATTAGAGGGACACTCCAGGCTCCCACACACGTTAGGTGCACTGTGTTGGTTAGATTACAGGTAGTTATACTGGGTGGGTTTATATTATTAAAGTGACACTCCAGGCTTCCACACACGTTAGATGCACTGTGTAGGTTAGGTTTCAGTTAGTTATACCGGGTGGGTTTCTATTCTTAAAGGGACACTCCAGGCTCCCACACACGTTAGATGCACTGTGTAGGTTAGGTTACAGTTAGTTATATTGGGTGGGTTTATATTATTAAAGTGACACTCCAGGCTTCCACACACGTTAGATGCACTGTGTATGTTAGGTTACAGTTAGTTATACTGGGTGGGTTTATATTATTAAAGTGACACTCCAGGCTTCCACACACATTAGGTGCACTGTGTAGGTTAGGTTTCAGTTAGTTATACCGGGTAGGTTTCTATTATTAAAGGGACACTCCAGGCTCCCACACACGTTAGATGCACTGTGTTGGTTAGCTTACAGTTATACTAGGTGGGTTTATATTATTAAAGAGACACTCCAGGCTCCTACACACATTAGATGCACTGTGTAGGTTAGGTTAAAGTTAGTTATACTGGGTGAATTTATATTATTAAATGGACACTCCCACACACGTTAGGTCCACTGTGTAGGTTAGATTACAGGTAGTTATACTGGGTGGGTTTATATTATTAAAGGGACACAACAGGCTCCCACACACATTAGACACACTGTGTAGGTTAGGTTACAGTTAGTTATACTGGGTGGGTTTATATTATTAAAGAGACACTCCAGGCTCCTACACACATTAGATGCACTGTGTAGGTTAGGTTAAAGTTAGTTATACTGGGTGAGTTTATATTATTAAATGGACACTCCCACACATGTTAGTTGCACTGTGTAGGTTAGATTACAGTTAGTTGTAAAGGGTGGGTTTATATTATTAAAGGGACACTCCAGGCTCCCACACATAGAAACATAGAAACATAGAATGTGACGGCAGATAAGAACCATTCGGCCCATCTAGTCTGCCCAATTATCTAAATACTTTCATTAGTCCCTAGCCT